TCCAAGCTCAGCAGGATGCTGCTGAACAGGCTGCTCTCGCGAAGCTGGAACGGCCGGAGCAAGCTGTTCCAATCGGGCAGAGAAATCTACCGCGTAACATCCCTGCTACGCGCTCTGCCATTGCTCCACCGCCATGTACCAGGCAAGACTTTGAGATCAAACCTGCCATGATCAACCTGGTACAGAGAAAGACGTTCCATGGGTTACCAGCTGAGATACCTATGGAACACATCGAGGCTTTTGAAGAGATTTGCAGCTTTACTCGTGCAAACGGTGTTCCACCTGACTTCATCAAGTGCATGTTGTTCCCGTTTTCTCTAGAAGACAAGGCTTCAAGATGGCTTAAGTCACTTCCTACAGGTTCCCTCACTACTTGGGAACAGGTCAGAGCGGCTTTTCTGGGCCATTTCTACACAAAGGCAAAAACGGCTGCTCTCAGGAACAAGATCACATCCTTCAAGCAGCTCTCTAATGAGCCATTCAATGAAGCATGGGAACGGTTCAATGACACCCTCAGGGAGTGCCCACACCACGGGTTTGACAATGACCACATCCTAGGAATCTTCTATGATGGTGTGGATTGGGAATATCGAAGTGTTCTAAACTCTGCGAGCAATGGAGACTTCATGACTCAGACTACTGATGGAGCGTTTGAGCTGATTGAGAACATGGCTGCTAGTTCATCCAATCGTATCCAGGAGAACGATCTCTCCAAGGAAGTGAACAGTGTCGGCACCCAGAAGATTGATGAGCTGTCAGCTAAGGTTGATCTGCTACTTAAGAACAACCAAGGGCAAGTCTACATCATGGAGGAAGCTACGGCTGAGCAGATTCAGAATAGTCACGAGGTTGCTCCTGAGGCTGGAAAGAAAGGGAACAATCAGCAGGAGATCAGCTACATCAATGGACAGGGGTATGCGCAGAACAACCAGACACATGGTGCAAGATATCAGAAAGGCTTCCCTCAGAATTTTCAGGGTAAAACATTTGTTTTCAGTCAGGCACAGGACCGGTTTGTGGGTCAGAATCAGAATCAGCATCAGCAACAGTCGCAGAGCAACCAACAGGCTGCTCCAGCTACTACCAGTGGTCCGCAGGATGAGCTGCAAGGTTTGGGTATGATGATGCAGCAACTGTTGCAGGGACAGCACATTCAGGGAAAGGCATTGCACCAGGTTACCTCAGAGATCAACACCAGAATGGACAACATGTTCACTGAGCTGAATACAAAATATGATACCGTGAGCAGCCACATAAAGAGGATTGATGTTCAGCTTGCTCAAACAGCTGAGAGTGTCAAGAGGCAACAAGGGACGCTCCTTGGAAAAACTGATAAAAATCCTAGGGCGGAGCACTGTAATGCAATAGAGCAACCGTTTGCAGAGACTACTCTGGGCGCAGAAGAGAAGACAGAGCAGTCTGCTAACTCCAGAACGACTGCTCCTGACGAACCTGCTGAGACTCCACCACTTCGAGTCTATGTTCCTAAAGTCCCATATCCTATTCCACCTAGACATCTGAGGGATCCCATTAGTGCAGAGAAGCTGGAAGGCTTCAATAAGATGGTGAGGAAGCTTCCTAAAGAACTCTCATTCGAAGATGCTCGGCAGATCCGGCCTTTGCATTCGTTCTTCACATACACTAGAGAGACTCAAGAGGAAATTAAAGCCCTCTATACCAAAGCAATGACCACGCCATCACTGAAGGTTTTGCCTACGATTGCTGACCCTGGTAAATTTCTTTTTCCATGTTCCATTGCTGGAGTAGAATTTAAGGACTCTCTTTGTGACTCTGGGTCTAGTGTGAATCTTGTCTCAAAGGCGATTGTAGATGAGTTGGGCATTGTGGATGTTGAGCCTTCTCAGGTGAATCTGGCTTTTGCTAACTCCTCCAGAGCAGTCCCTTATGGCACCATTCGCAACCTTCCTGTCCAAGTTGGGGATTGTATTTTGTATGTTGAATTTGAAATTGTTGAGATGAGCAAAGATCATGAGATGCCTTTGATTTTTGGAAGGTCATTTATGGCTACAGTGGGAGCAATCGTCGACCTACCTAATAAGAGAGTCTCCTTCTCCAACATCAGCAAGAAGACTTTCTACAAGGCTGTCCCAACCAGGTCACAAGTCAGATACGCCTCCTGCATCTCAGTGGTTTGTGCAGAACAGCCAGAAATCGTTCCTAAGGAGCACTGTTCCAGCATAAGAGAACATGTTGAAAGGAGCGAGATCAAAGAAGTCTTGGATGGAGATCCTCACACTGATACCAATGAACTCCGTGGGAATGCAAGGGTAAAAGAAAAAGTCAAGAAGAAAAGGGTCAAGGGTGGCCCCACGATGACTTTGATACCTCGCATGTGTGATGAGAACTCCATTGAATATGAGGTAAAGTGCAAAGGAACCTCCAAACCGTTCTCTAAAGTCAGAGCTATTCTCACACATGAGCTGAAGGAGAAAGGGGAAGCTGCTGTAAAAGGGTTGTTGAGCAGAGTATTGAAGCTGAACATGTCTGATTGTGGAGCTTGTTTTGGAGCAAGCGCTCATGCTCAACCCGGCTGATCCCTGTCACCAAGTCAAGCTAATGACTTAAACCAAGCGCTTGGTGGGAGGCAACCCACTGGTAAGTGTAAATATTATTAGGATTTTCTTTTTGCTTATTTTTTTTGTTTTAGTTTGTTGAGTTTCAGGTCAAAAATCAGAAAAACCCGAGATACTTGAAAAATTTCTGGGTTTCAGAACCGGAGCAGCTATCCCTCCGAAAGGAACGGCTGCTCCAGGCGGAGATCAGACGATGGAGAACCCAGAATTTTCGTGGAACGCCCGTTTCACGCAGGTAAGTATCTCAACCAAAAATATTTATATTTATGTTTTTATTTACACCTTCTCTCTGATTTATTTTCACACCGAGACGTTGTGNAGATCAGACGATGGAGAACCCAGAATTTTCGTGGAACGCCCGTTTCACGCAGGTAAGTATCTCAACCAAAAATATTTATATTTATGTTTTTATTTACACCTTCTCTCTGATTTATTTTCACACCGAGACGTTGTGAAGTAAGTCTGGGGGAGGGTCTTTGTCGTTTACTAACTCTTTTATTTCTTTTGGTTTTTATGTTATAGTCAGTCTTGAGTCATTTTGATGTTTTTATTGAGTCAGTCAAAATTTTGTGGGAATTAGGACCTTACTTTGTGATGTTTATTAACCACCCTCGTGCTTTAGCTATCTTATTCAGTGACCTTAGCAGTGGCGACAGACACACATGTGGATCCGGAACACCCTGACATTACATCATCTTGTTCTCCAAAAGCTTTCAGCTTGTAGAGGTTACTCTGGAAAGACTTAACTCCATTTAACTTGAACGTAATATTGACTATAATTCTTCTTGTCATGGGCATTAGATTAGGGTTTGACGTGATTAACACTCAGGACTTCTTATTCTTTCTATCCATCTTGCTGATCCTGAGTGGCTAGCTCATCTTTAGCTAGTACCCACCTTGAAACCCTAAGCCTTTATTCCGCCCTCATGCATTTGCTTTTTAGTATTTTATGTGCAGATATGTGCAAAAGGGCCGGAGAGGAAAGGATCGACACAGTCTCTTACTCGTTGA